GGGGGCTGTCCCTCAGCGGAGCTCTCCAACAAAAGCGAGCCAGACAGCTGCTCTCCAGTCCACACCATTAATGATCTGGAGCAGCGATCTGGGAGTGGCGAGCTGGCAAAAACCTCTATTTCAAAAGTCTGAAACTCATCCTGTTTTTGCGCAAATGATGTGCGTAAAAGGACACTTTAGTATACCACGTTGCATTTACCTGTCCTGGACGGATGCCTGTGATCTTCTTTTCCAAGCAGACATAACTGCTCTATTGTGAGGGTCATTTGCATGATAATACAGTGTACTAAACAGTAATTATAACGAGGGCAGAGTGCTCGTATTAGACATAAACACATAGACATTGTGCATAAAGGACAAAACCAGCACACCCAAAAGCAAAAAGTCCAAAACTGACACCACAAGAAGCATCATTTAACATTTTACATATTGTGCATGCTTATACATCCAGATGATACAGATAGGGTGTAGCCATATGCTATCAGACCTCATACTCTGGAGCAGCAGAGCTGAACGTGAGAATGCAGTTGCACACAAATCAGAAGTCACCAAACAAACGGAGAACAAACGAGACGCAGGGCAACACCTGTCGCTTTCTTTGGAGAAGGGCCCTTAATTCCCCCGGCTGATTCAGTTTGGATCCGAGGGGCCACGAGCAGCTGCCAACTGAAGGCATCGCGTTACATCCGAGAGCTGCGGGTAAATCTGCTGAGGCTCGGACACTGAGGACCGCAGGAAGAAGAAGCGGTCGGGCAGGGGAAAAAACCAGAGGAGATATTTACTGTTATTCAAGGATTCAAGGAGATTCAAGGCTTTTATTGTCATTTGAACAGTGTAGTTTTGACAATTACATCTTAGGTCACAGGCTCCTCCAACAGTGCAACACAAAAAACAGATAAAAGTAAATAAAATAAAAATATAATATAATAGAAATTGTGCAGAATAGTCCATACAAGTAATTGGAATATTGATATAAGTTGCAGATAGATGCATGTTATGGATGTTCTTTCAAAAGTTCAGGAAGGCTGTGGTGAGTCAACGTGGTCAGAAAAGTGTGCAATAAGAATAAATACCAAGCCATTGTTTGGATAATGAATCAGAAATCCTTTATTCTTTGTTTTTTCTTTGTTATATTTACAGCATTACAACAGCAAAGGACGGTGAAGATAAAAGGCAAACATAAACATAGTAGACTTAGGCTACATAGTAAATAAATAAAGAGGCAAGAACACGTTAATACAAATAAAAGCAAGCGGTACACATTAAAATCACACAATAATTGACCACACAATCTATATAAATAAATAAGAACTAGCAACATTTAAAAAAAATCAAGCAAACATGTTAAAGTATTAAAGGAGCCAATAACATTAGCAAATTGTAAACACAAATAAAGGATGTTTCGCACACTGGATTATTGCACTTGATATGAATACAAAAAATCATATATGAAATACATAATACCTAAAATACCAAACTCTATTTTGAATACAAGAATAACCCCATGGCAACATTACACTGTTATTAAAACCTTGATGACTTGGTTTTATCCAAAATATACATCGACTTTGCATCATATTGTCATCTTATCCTGCACGATCATGACTTTGGAAGCACATAATATTCATCTGTTTCCAACTCATATATATCAATATTCCAATTACTGTATAGACTATTCTGCACTTTCTATTATATTCTATTTTAATATGTTATTTACCTGTATAACATGTTATCTGTTTTATTGCGTTGCACTGTTGGAGGAGCCTGTGACCTAAGATTTCTATTGTCACAACCACACTGTAGCTATATGTACACATGACAATAAAAGCCTTGAAACTTGAAACACACAGTTGATATGATGTGAAGAGAGAAAAAAACGCAGTGGTCGTTGCCCTGACACAACAGCCTGTGAGATTAAAGCCAAGGAGCCCCTGGGGGCGCGAGCCGGGGGCTGGCCGGAGACAAAGGGAGCGCACGCTGATTGGCTGCGGCCGCGCGCGCTCTGTTGTGCAGCTCAGCCCCCATTCACATGTTAATAAGCCCCTATAAATACTAACAACAGACACCCAGCGCCGGCAGCACGTCTCACTAGGATTGCACAATAAACACAGGGCGCCTCGCTTCTGCCTGAGAGCTTGTTGTCGATTTTTTTTTAACCGGTTCCGTTTGCCAGCTGCTCCTCTGGAACAAGGAGCCTCAGATCAGACCAACATGGCCCCCTCGGCTCGACCCAGCAGCTCCGAACTGGATATGGATGAAGACGAGGAGTCCTACTATGGGATTCAGAAAGTCGACAGAAAGGTACCAAACCCCGGATTAATGAAGGAATGATCAGGAGCTATTTGGAGACACTTGGGATTTAAGCACTTGTTACACCGGTGAAGCTCTGCGATGCTTTTACTGCAGAGGTTAACGCCAAGGAGGTGGAAGAAGTACTCACTCAGATCTGGTACTTTAGTGAAAGTAGAAGTACCGGAGTGTAGGAATACTCTGTTAAAGTAAAAGACCTGAATAAAAAATGTTACTCAAGTAAAAGTAGAAAAGTATTATCATCAAAATATAGTGAAAGTAGCGACAGTAAAAGTAGTCATTGTGCAGATTGGTCCATTTCAGAATAATAGATATGATATGTTTTATAATGATTGATCATGAAAGTGTTCTCAAAGCTGGTAAAGGTGCAGCTAGTTTGAATGACTTTGTATACTGCAGGGTAGCTTGTGGATTTACTCCAGGTGGAACTAAAGTCTGATTTAACACTTGATTATATTTCACATCATTCATCCACATCTGTAAAGTAACTAAAGGTTTTACATACATGGAGTGGAGGAAAAGTACAGCATGTACCTCTGAACTGTAGTGGAGTAGAAGAACAAAGTAGCAAAACATTGAAATACTTAAATAAAGTACAAGTAAACATCATGAGTTTGAATGGCATGACGTAATTGATTCTCAGTTAATTTAATCCACATAGTGTGTCGACACCACACAATACTGAACATGAGAAATACCAATGCTATGTGCATTATACGCCTTCCATTTTTCTTACAACTGATACAAGTTATCATTTGTTCACTGTTGTGGCTTTACGCTAGTTAAACACGTGACCCTCTGTTGTGCATTTACGTTATAATTTAACCTCAATAACATTAATTGATTCCTAAAATAGATTAAGTCCAACATAGTGTATCCAAATATTCAAAGCTTATTCAATCCAATATTATTTATTTTTTTACAATTTACTAAGTTAATCACTACTACTGCTACGTTCACTTACTTTAATATGCTCACTTTCCTAATGTATACTTATTTGATTTATTGTATCTCACCTCTTTATTTGGTATGCTAGTCTCCTTGGTTTATTGTTGCCATATATCTGCATGTTCCTTTTTGCTGCACTGTACATTTTACCATTACATTACATTACATGTCATTTGTTAGACGCTTTTATCCAAAGCAACTTACATACATTCAGTACTGTGGACAATCCCCACAGGAGCTATTTGGGGTGAAGTGTCTCAGGGACACAACGACATGCTGACTGCAGTGGGACTCAAACTTGCTATCCCCTGATTAGAAGTCCAGCACACCATCCACTGAGCCACATTTCCCCACTTTCTGAAGATGAATGGACGTCTGATTGTGTTGTCTGTGTTTTCAGACCAGGAAGCCTCTGGTGGAGAAGAAGAGGAGAGCTCGCATCAACGAGAGTCTGCAGGAGCTGCGCACTCTGCTGGAGGACTCAGACGTGAGTTCACCTGAGGTCGCCTGGAGCCGAGGTCCAGAGGAGGGTTTTCTGATGGAGTTTCTAACGTTTGTGTTTCCCGCGCAGCTTCATTCTAAGACGGAGAATGCGGAGGTGCTGGAGATGACGGTGAAGAAGGTGGAGGAGGTGCTGAAGAACCGAAGCCAAGGTCTGCACAGCTCTGTTAAAGCCTTACAATCTGACACTGTTTTACTCTTATATCTTCAGACCTAACATCTAGAGCAGTGGTTACAAACATGGGGGTTGCGGCCCCATTAAGAGGTCACAAGATTAGTTTCATGGGGGTGTAGGAGAAGCAGGAATAAACGTTTGTTCAACCTGAATTCCTGGATACTTTTGCTTTTTTAGGGGTTAACATCTTAATAAAACCTGGAACGGGGTTGCTGTTACTAAGCTTGGGGTCAGGTTCCCATTAGGGGTCACATGATGCATTTTAGGGGTCGTGGTAGAAGCAGAACAAATTCAAATGTCTTCGCCGTGTAATTTCTGGATACTTTTGCTTATTTAGGGCTTGATATTATTCAAATAAAACCTGGAGCCTAGAGCAGGGGTTACTAACCTGGGGTTCGGGGGCCCCATCAGGGGTCACAAGATACATTTAAGTGGTTGCAATGGCAGCAGGAAATAACAGCATCCAGGTAAATGCATTCTTAGACATTTGCTTATTCGTATGGCTTAAAGTTATTTCAATGACGCAGGAACAAATTGCTCTTAGTAAGCTGGTTGCATCGTGTCGTTGCAATTGATTCAGAAGCGTCACAAGTAGACTTTTACTTATACAAATAATGGTATCACAGGACAGCTACAACTTATTTAGAGGGAATACAGGATAGTTTGTGGTATTTTAACAATAGGTCGATTCTACTCTTATAGAATGTCATATTTTTAGGGTTGTTTACTGTCTATCTGAAATGTCCTACTTTAAAAGGAAACACCTAACACGCTCAATCATTTCTCCTGTTCTGTTTCTGTATGTTGTGTTTTATGTTTTGTTTTAATGGCCTTACTACAATTACTCAAGGGACAACTCACACATTTACAGTTCTGAAGTGACTGTTATTTTGTATATATTGATTGTCGTGCTTTTATTTATGTCTTAATGTGTGCATATGTATAAGTGTGTCTGTTGATTGTGTATATATAGGTATATACATAATACACATTTCTATAGATATTTCTATTTGTATTTTTGTGTTCGGGATTGTGGGACTGTGGGAAACGGTATTTGGATCTCTCTGTCTGTACACACTTTGACTTGACTGTTTCTCAAATAAACAAAAGTAAGCCACACTCTTCCCCCCCTCTCCTCCACAGAATCAGACACCCTCTCCCAGGAAGCCAGCGAGAGGTTTGCTGCCGGCTACATCCAGTGCATGCACGAGGTCCACACCTTCGTGTCCACGTGTCCCGGCATCGACCCCACGGTGGCGGCGGAGCTCCTGAACCACCTGCTGGAGTGCATGCCGCTGAACGAGGACCACCTGCAGGACGTCCTGATGGACCTGATCACGGACGCTTCTTCTGGGAGTAACGGCAGCAGCTCTTGGCACGGAGGTGATGAGAGTCTCTGTTCGTCCTCGCTGGCCTCACTCGGAGGACAGAGGATTTCCTCGTCCTCCGCCCCCTCCCCCGCCCCGTCCACCACCTCCAGCGAGGACCTGTGCTCCGACCTGGACGACACCGACAGCGAGCAGAACCAGAGCTCCAGCGAGGGCCCCGAGACCCCCGTGACCTACCCGAGGTCCATGTGGAGACCCTGGTAGGGGTATGGATATGCTGGAGCAGCTGAGCCTGGAATATTCAACCCTACCACACAGAAACACTTCAAAATAAAAATGTCCTTTGGAGCTGAAACATGCATTGAAACCTATCTTTGTGTGGTGCAGGAATGAGTCCTAAAGCCTGGAAATGAGTCAGCATTTACCACTTCCCATTCTCTCATTTTAAAGTCAATGGTTTTTTGATTGACATATAGGGAGACCGGAATATTCAACCCTACCACATAAAAACACTTCAAAATAAACATTTCTTTGGGTGGTGCATCTTGCATTTCTTGGCTCAACTAGCCCTGGCCACACACATGGATTTCTAACTTCTGGATCCCCTGGAGATCAATTTGTTGTTGTGTGGAGGAACCATCTTTTTCCCACAATAGAGTGGTGCAGGAATGAGTAAAAAGACCCGGGAATGAGTCAGCATTTCACCACTTCCGGTTCTCTCATTTTAAAGTCAATGGTTTTTTGATTGTTTTTTGGTAACTAGCCTGAAATCAGGTCTGTGGTTAAAACAAGCTGAAGAGATTTCCACGTTTTGTTCTATGACATCAAATACTGCTGAAAGTCCGCTTTCGTGTGTCTTATAAATGGCGGTTGGTAACAAGTGAGTAAAGGAGACTATTAAACGTCATCACGGCGAACATTAGCCGCCTGTAGCTTAGTGGTGGTGATACGCAGCCATGTGACCGTGATGTAGCTCATTCGTAGCATTAGGCTAGCCTTTTTTCTTCTGCCGATTGCATTTACGCTTCAAAAATGACAAAGTGGTGTTAGTATGTGGAGAAAATCCAGCTGAACAAAACGTGTAAGTATCGTTATTTCCACAGATCATATTTTCTGCAATATACCAAAATCCAATGGAAAAATCTTATTGACTTTTTGTCGAGGGAGCCCTTAGGGTGCTTACTTCCGGGTTTGCCTTCAACAATATGTCATTATCGCACCACCCTATTGAACACTACACGTGTAAATCGATCCCACTGCATTCTGGGAGATGTAGGAAATCACTCAGTGAGGTAGAAATAGAGAAAACACTCCTTAAGTTCTTTGGATATCTTGGGATGTATTGAGTGTTAAACGATGGGGTTCCCTTTATCTCAATACAGGGGTCTTTCCTGGACGTACACCCCCTCTCTTTCCTTTTCAGTATGTTGTGACTTTTCCTCACACCTGAAAATGGATGAAACATTCACTTATAACCCGGGAAAGGACAGACGAGGAACAGATCACACTTTCTTTCTTTATTTTTGCAACTCTGTGTATATAGGATTTGTATGTGGAGAAAAGCTCTTGTAGAAACCGAGAAATTTGGCAATGACTCTGATTAATATAAATATTTCTATTGTATTTCATAAAGGCCTGTAGTTTATCGGACCAGTAGCCTCCTTCAGAATGACCACTTTATGTTGTAACGATGTGTAGAAATGCCAGTAAAATGTCTGAATTTGATAAATAAAATAATGTAGGTGAAAAGCTGACGACTCAATGTCTGAGGGCAAATAATATGTTCTCAAAGTTGGTATAAAATATTGGAATCTACATTTATTAAGTGATTATTTTTTTAAAGGACACCAGGTTAATGTCTGTTAAGTGAGTGACTTGTCCTTCCTGTTGTCCTCTGGTCAAATTTGTCCTGTCAAGGTCCTTACACACCAAACTGACACCAAAGAACACGTCCCGACGGAACGTCGCCTCACGTCTCCTGCGCCTTGGCCATGTGTCGCACTGGAACACACCGCAAATACTTCAGCCGACGGCCAAGAAGCACGTACGAACTGCGCATGCGTGAGTGGCAATAACTCTCCTTACCAGCAGGCGGCGGTAGTGTGTATTCGTCATTCAAAAGAGGCAACAACCGGAAGACAGACTGCGTGATAACCGAGAGAAGAAGAACAGACTGCGTGATATAAACAAACAACAAATAGTGTGCATTCCATTTTCACTCTACAGCTAGAAGCTCATGGGGCTTTCCCCAACCTGTGTCGAGAGCTGGAGTTAAATGAAATCTCAGATTTGTTTGGGTCCCTCACTTCCGTTTCGCTTCTCATGCACTGATTCGCTAGCTGAACAGCCAATCAGAGTGATTTATTTTGCCTCCTGATTAAACATGTCGAATCGGCGGTGGAAGGTGTCGGCACGGCTGAAAAGACACGACGGTGCGGGACACACCAATCTGAGTAGGGCGACACGATGCTTATTGATGGCCCGACATCTAACGACGCCGCATATCGGCTTGGTGTGTAAAGGCCCAGATACACCGGCCAGTCATCTGAGAAGTCGCCGACGCCGACACCGACTGTTGCGTCGCCGGACTCTCCTGCGTATTTGCCGACTTCGCGCACTGGAACACACCGCAAATCCGAGCCGAGCACGTATGAACTGCGCATGCGTGAGTGGCAATAACTCTCCTTACCAGCAGGCGGCGGTAGTGTGTATTCATCATTCAAAAGAGGCAACAACCGGAAGACAGAGAAGAAGAACAGACTCCGTGATATAAACAAACAACAAATAGCGTTTTTCTTTCCATTTTCACTCTCGTCCATTGAAAACATGAACGAACAGGAGCAGGACGAACGGGAGGTACTGGAGCTAGCAGCTCTTGGACTCACGCTTGTGTTAAATCATTTGGCGCACACCAGTCCGAATAGGGCGTGCCCACGCTCATGTTCGGCCCGACTCCCATTTACTGCCGATTTCGGGCCGGTGTATCTGGGCCTTAAGGACCTTTAGAAATGTTTATTTTGTAGGAACACTTATAAAAAAAAAGTACGATCACTACTTCCATTAAGTGTTTTATTTATAGCTTCTAGTAAATAAAAGATAAAAACAAGACATGGTCGTCTGATCTTAACAAAAGTAAAAAGAAATGCCTTTTATTTTACTCAAACATAAGGTTTACATGTCTGTACATGATGTCTTTTGAACATAAATACCAAAAAGAAAAGTAAAACTGAAATGTTGGTGATTATTTAAAGTATATGCTCCATAGTAAAACCATGTGCACAGTTGATGGGAAGACAAAGCAAAGATTAAGTTGTTGTTATTTTAGTTTTACTTGCTTGTAAGCGCTTTATAAATGTAATGTATTATTATTATCATTATCATTATTATTATTTGGCCCATTTCATTATCTTTAAACAGCAACTTATGTGGCGTACAGCAAAGAGACCAAAAGCATCTCTCACTATCTGTTGTCCAAGTAAAATAACTTATTAGAGTTTATCCATTAGAGTAAAATCTATTGTTTTATTCAAATAAAACAAAATGTAAAATATAAAGTAGACGTAAAAAGCATCAACTGATTCAAAGGGTGTAATCGAATGTTTTGGTCTTTGGTCAATAAGTTTGATTTGTTATGAGATATTTAAAAGTAGGTCCATTTTGAACATGTTGGTGATGCTTTAAATAGTCTTAAAATGTCCTATCATGATCTTGCCTTACTCCTCAGTTTATAAGTGGGAGTTGCATGGCTTTGTGCAGATTGAACTCCTTTGCCTACCAAACCAAACGCTAAAAGTCCATATAATCAATTGAGACACTGAAGAAAGTCTCTCCTCTTTCTTTTTAACACCTTCCTCTCCTGGATTTGTTCCTTGAAGGAGGAACCATGAAAGAGTCGCACCTCTTCATAGTGACTTCAGTCTCACCTCAGGAACAACGAGCACATTAACAAAGGCCTGTGAGATCCTGTCAGCAGCTGCAAAGACCCTTCCTGATATAAAAGGAGAGTGAGAAAGAAATCCAATCTTTCGCTTCACAACATATCCAATGCCGATGGGCTGCATTTCATATTTGGTGAAAATCACACATTTAGTTGTTGATTTGTCGAATGATCCTTTAATCTTGAAGGAATAGTTAAGAAACCCAGAGGGAAGCTAGAGGAGGATTTAGGCCCCGGCCACACGGAGACGAAAACGAACCGAGGTCGATTTAAAAAAAGTCTCAAGAAACATGTCCGTCCACACGAGACCGCTCGACCCGCTGGAGAAGCTGTAGTACATATGCCGGGCCTGTAAGTGGCGCTGTACTTCCTCCACAAAATACACCAAAAGCAGCGAATAAGACCCCCCGAGTATGGTTGCCATGGTTGCCCTTCTGTTTAGTCTCCGCGGTGGATTCAGCAACATGTAGTTCATGTAGTTCTCCATGTCCACTTATTGCAAGTACAAAGGTATTATATTGTAAAATAACTAGGGCCGGGACTCGATTAAAAAAATTAATCTAATTAATTACAGGCTTTGTAATTAATTAATCGCAATTAATCGCATTTTTAATCACATATAAATATTTGACCTGAGAACAGTGAGAAGCAATTTTTTCTCACATGGATTTTAGTATACCATTGAATAATGACTGAATACATAAGCTTAAGCAACAAAACATTGTTTATTTTTATCAAGGTGGTACTTAAAGACCAACAGAAAAATAGCAATTTTTAGTCCATAAAGTGTAGCA